GATGACTAACTGTTTCCAGTAGAGGAGTGTCTTTGTCCTTCATTGCAAAATTGCTCCTGGTAACTGTCTAATTTGTGCAGTGTAATATATAATAAACATAGTGTAGACTCTATAGCACTTACCTATGATGTGTCTGACGCTGGCAAACCGATCATCTTCTTCCAATACTTCAGAAATAAACTCAAGTCTTCCAGGAGATATGGTTGCTCTTTGCTCCAGCTCCCTCAAAAGGGTGTAGATACAGGTGTAATTTTCAGGATTGCTGTCACTTTTGAGACAAAGGGTTTCCAAAAGGGTACGCAGCAAATCCTTAGTCAGGGAACAAACCAGATTTATGAGGCATGACCTCATTGCCACAAGCTTGCACTCATGTTCAGATATGTACTGATAATTTTCAAGTGTGGGTGGCCTAAACTGGTTTGGAGGACAAAGAATATCTGCATATTTCTTTAATTTAGCTTTATCCAGTATAATCCTTAAAATATCAATAGAATCATCCTTTTCATGGCAGTACTTGTGGCGCAAGTCACCCAAAAGGGCGATTAAAGACTTGCTAGGATCTGCTTCCTTTGCGAGTACTTCGACTAGATATAAAAAGGATCCTTTCTCTTTCTTGGAGAGCTTTTGATCTATTTGGTTAATCTGCGTGGTTATATCGGCCTTTCCTTTTCGAAGAGAAGACGACAGTGAGGCCATTCTTTGCAGCTGCTTTGCAATCGACGGAGACTCGGAGAGAAGAATGAGCTATATGAGCCAATGAGGGGGATATCCTCGGGAAGTCCCCTTATTTTGTACATACCCACCAAATGGCACCCATTAATTACTCATAGATCATCATCCATGAATTAATAATTACAATAGCCATTAATAATAATTATAATGAATAATCATCACAAATCTACCATTAATTAACATAGATCTACTACTGCTGGCCACTCAACATTCTAATGGTATTATTAAAATCCTCTTTCTTCATATAGTGTTTTGACTCGTGTCTCATCATATAAATTTCCCACCAGTACTTTGCTTGCTCTTCAACTTTATAAGCAGGTGGAATAGCTTCGGCGAAATTGCTTAGATACAATCTAGCAGCTATGGCAGAATACATTGGAATTTCCAGATGTCTCCTCTCCACTGACGTCCAGTCGATCTGAAAACACCGCGAGATCTTTTCATACTTTGTCGTAAGTCGAACGTGAGTCCGAGTGTCGAGATTATCATTATGAGCAAAGAGACTAACTTGCCAGATACCACCGTCGGTACACAAAGGAAATGGAGGATTACCAAAACGAGACATGACATGTGCCACACGTAACATAAACTGCTTATCGTCAGGAAAGATATAGGAATCGAGTAATTTCTTGATACACAACCTGACAATGTCTTCCCCTGACTCTCCATTTATCCAGATTCGTTCTTCAAGACTAGGAACTGCTAGAAGAGATATTAGGAGAGGGGTTGCTCCTGTGGGGCCTGTAATAAAATAATAATAACAACAACAACAACAACAAGTATTGGTTTGTTTATATTATATGTACAATGGTTTATTTAATTTCTACTAATACACATACATTATACATCATATCATAGATCTACTATACAACATACATCATGTGTGTTGTATGTATATTTAATCATTATTATAGTTATCAGTATGTACCTGTCATTGTGTCAGGTGTCTTTGGTGGGTGATACTGATACTCACTAACAACTGAATTATAATCAGGTGGTTTTGATGAAGGTACTAAAGCTCCTCCTCCTTCCCTCGTGACAGGAGGGGGAGGAGGTCCTCCAGTTAATTGAGACACAGCAGTTGACTGTCCTCCTGATTGGTTAAGCATAGGGCCAGCTGGAGTATTGAGAGATGATTGAGAAGGAGGAGGGGGAGGAGGAGGGAGAGATGAGTCCAGCCCATGCATTGAATAAAGAGGTGAAGAAGGATTAAAATGAGCTAGTTGAGCTGAGCTGTAGTAACCAGTGGGAGTCACTTTTCGATGAGAGAAAAAGAAACGTCTAGAGTCTTCACTGACTCTATCCAACAGCTTGATTTCTCCAATCCCTCTCAATCCGTTAATAATGGCCGATATGTCCTCCGTCCTTATCAACTTCACATTCTCTAGTCTTCGGTAGAAGTTCATTCGCTCCATCTGCTGATTGAAAGGGAAGGACTCTGGTATGCCAATGTACTCGTCTTGTGGTGACACGATACGAATGAAATTAATATAAGTATCCCTGTCACGAAACTCTTCACTCAGATCCATGCGTACCATTACAAGTCTGAGCATCATCTTTGGATTAGGAGGCATCCATTCATGAGGTATTGGATTATCAACCAGGAGCGAGTCCATGTGCTCCTTCACCAGAGACTCATTATAAGTATGGGATAGAGCCCAGGCTATGTACCAGAGAGGATGATCCTTGTCAAGGTTTCTTTTCGAAAGAGAGAAGTACATTGAGTATAAGTCGTTGCTCTTAGCGTCATCTGTTAGTAGGTACTCCAATAGGTAATAGACACGTGGCAGGACACGTGGTATGTCTAGTTTAGACATGAGAGCATCAAACACTCTCTTCACTTCAGCCTTTGAAAGACTAGCAAAGGACTTGGCCACTTCCTCTTTAAGAGCCTTTAGGCCGAGAATCTCAAGGACATTTAGCAAAGGTTCTATGTTGCTGGTACTAATCACGGAACTCTCTTCAAGACGACGATAAAGGTCCATACGCAAGTCGAACCTATCAGGAGGATAATTAGAAACACTGCCAATGTAATCATTATACGATGAAATTGTGCGGGTAAATGTGTTAAAGAAAGCTGGGTCTCTGAGGGAAATATCGACACTAACTAGTATCATTCTTAGAAGGAGAGTTGATTCAGTAGGAGTCCAGTCTGATGGAGGAGGGTTGGGGATTAAAGTCGCTAGTCGCTCATTTTGAGTACCGTTGAGAACCCAAAACATGTACCAGAGAGGGTTGAGGCCATTAAGATCCCTCATCTGCAGCGACTGGTACATTGAGAGGAGATTGTCCCTCTTGGCATTTTCGGTAAGTAAAGTCTCCAATATATAATAAATACGAGGCAGGCTTGTGCTTTGGTTCATTTTTGACTGGATCGAACGAAACGTTTTCTTGAGTTGAAGCGAATCGACGTCACGCAGTAGAAGAGCAAAGTCTTCCTCGATCTCTGTCTTTAGCTTTAAAAGTCCCAATCGTCCCAATATACCAGTCAGTGCCTCAATGTTTTGCGGGACAATGTAGCATTTCTCTTCCAACAAGCGGTAGAGATCCAATCTCTTAGTGTAGTCGTTGTGTGGGTAATGGCTATGATGACCCAATTCAGGATAATCCAATAAAATAAACGAGACGTAGGTTTCGTACTGAGATGGATCATGTGACGAGAACTGAGGGTTCATATCAATACGAGTCATTAGATACCTCATTAGCACCCTGGGGTCATCCGGGTTCCATTCTTCGGAGAAAGAAGACGAGTCAAAGAGATCTTTGAGATATTTACGTGCTACACCTTCATTAGCTGTTGCTCTAAGGGACCAGTAAAGATAATGAAGGGATTCTTCATCTCCCAAATCCCTCTTTAGTGACTCGTGTATTGAGAAAAGATTATTAGATTCGACTT